CTACAATAAGAACAACTCATAAGGAACCTTGTATTAAATTTTCAAGTTTTTTTGGTGATCCAACATTTTTTACCGGCACTTCGAAAAAAATTCTCAAAAAAAAATGAAAATTTCAGTGGTCTATAAATAACTCAAAAAAAGGCAAAAATTTATGAAAATTAAACTTTATATAGATAACACTAATATAAACATTTGGTGAAAATTTCGAGTATTTACAGTGATTAGTTTTTGAATTACAACCATATAAAAAAATCGATTTAGCCTTGAATTATATATATATTATATTATATTGTATTGATATGCTAAACCCCAAAAAATATTATCGTCAGTAATTTTTGTAATAGGTGATTTTAATCTAAAACTACTCATAAATCATAAAATAACACGATTTTTACATGAATCCGTTTTATCTATGTTACACGTTGGCATGAAAGAAAACAAATATTATGATGACATCCTCTTAAATATTATATCTTACACAAAAAAAAAAAATCAATTAAAACTGTTGGAATATACCAATCATTACAAATAAGATGTTACTTATTTTAAATACTGTTTGATTATTTTTAAGGTACTTAGTGACTAGTAGAGGTCATAAGATTAAAGTAAAAATTAAACATTCATAATATTTAATATTTATAAGAATATATTAAAATAAACTTAACACGTGGAAAGACTCATTGTATTTTTAAATACAACAAATCTAATATTATAGCTTTTGAAAAAGTGTTTCAGTTGAGRAAATAAAATTTTTTAAATAAAACCCATTTTTAAAATTTTTTCTTCACTCATGTTAATAAAATGACAATAAATTATTTATAAATTTTCTCTAACAATTATTACATTAAATCAAAATAACTTAATGTTTTTGTATATCAATGAGTTAATTTGTCACATTATCTTACATTTATTTTATAATAATTAAATTGATTTGTATGAATCTATGAATAAAATAAAGATTACTTAATAAATACCACCTTGAAAACACACATTCAAACACTTTAGAATTAGGTAATAAGTAATAAGAGTTGAATATTTCATATCAAAATATTAAATATATTAAACTATAATATATTAAGTAAAATTTCTTTGTTTAGACATTTTGTACAGCGATAATGTATATTTATTTATTAGTTCATTAGCATTAATAAGTGGTAAGCCATTAAAAATTGTATGGCAACTAACAATATTTAACTAAAATTAATATATATATATAATGTTAAATAGATACTAGTGATACTTGTTTAATAATGGGTAATTTTAGAAATGGTATCTCATTTGAGATAACTAAAATACTCCAATCAACAGACAAAAAAATAAGGTGSATTGTAGACAGATTATACTTGAATTTAAAATCAACAATACAAAATTAAATTATCATTAAGTTACAGCAATAGATTATACTATCTACAACAATAGTCATACTTAATGATTCAATAGAAATAACATTTTTGCCTAATAACTCTTTAAATAATTATTATAATAATTATATTTTAATTGCAATGTGTCAAAACTCAAAAACTTATTCTTTGATACAATTGTAAATTGATTTTCAAACAGCATAATATAAATTAAAACAAGAGCGGTTCTTGACAAATAACAAAGGGTGGAATAATTTGTATAATATATTAATATACATTATATAATGTATACTTTTAACTTTTTTCCCATTGATAGGTAGGTACACAAGAGGTAATTTTATTTGGTAGGTATGCATTTTATACCTATGAATAGGATAATTTATAATCTTAATTAATGTTTGAAATTTGTATGATATTGTTTACTATTACCGTTACTAAATACTTACACATTTGTACAGGCCAAGAGAAGGGATTAATCGATCAAAAGCCATAGAACCACCATTTATACTATATTAATATTTTTATCTGAATATGATAAACAGAAAATAATATATTAATATATATAAAATTTTAATATTAGTTATTATTTTTTTTCCTGGTTAGAACTGGCAGCAGAGGAGGATCTGTTTGCACAATACTACTCCTATATTAGTCATTATTGACAGGATATAATATTAAATAAAATAATAATATATGATTAAAATTTATTAGTAAAAGAAGCTCTTTAAAATAGTTTAATTATTTTTTATTTTATTTGTTGTGTTCATTTTTGACACTTTAAGAGTATAACAGGTGTATAATGTAAAGTATAAATACTCAACTTTTTACATGTAGTAAGTGCATTATGAACTTTATTTACATGTATAATAAAAAATGTTCAACTTATAAAAAAGCCATTTAATAGTCTACACTAACATTAAAAATAGAAATCTAAGTCACAACAAGTTTCAGTAAGTACTTATTATAAACTAACAAGCTATTAGTCTTCAGTGCATATATTTTAAGCAGTTAGTCATACATTATATAAGTATTCACATTTGCACAAGTTCTGTTCCAACTATTTGGTAAGTAACATTTTAATAATCATACCGTTAACTATTCATACCATTAAACAACGTAGATACATATTAATAGCAATATAACATTA